TGCAAGAAGGTTTCATTTTTGATATGATCATAGAAATTTACTTATTAATGCATCAAAAACAACACCTTTACAGAGAAAGTTACTAATTATCAAATACCAATACTGATAACTGGATAATACACTTCAAATACAAGAAGTAAAAAACTTTAAAGTCTATTCAAATGTTATGCTTATAATTTTTAAAATTTATTTTATTAATAACAGCATAAATTATTTTTAATTTAGATGGCTTCTTATAAAAAAAAAGCTACAGATCAGTTTTATAATATGGAGCAAGACCACAAGCAAGATCCCAAGCATTTCACATTTCAAACTTCTTTTTGCAGTCTATTCTGTATCCTATAAGTTTGTTAAATTAGTAACAAAAGTAACTATTAAAATTCGTAGATGATTCTGATATAGTTATACATGATTATCAACCAATCATGTCTCGAATTTTAGTAAATCAACAAAAAATATATTATAAGGCAAAGTGAAATCATTAATTTAAATTTACCCTCATTTTATAGAAAGTTAAGCTACTAAAGCTTTTAAAAGTAGTGTATAATGTATAAAAAAAATTATATATTAATTGTGTAACTATATCGGAATAATCTACAAATTTGAACAGTCACTCCTGTTTAAAATTCATTAGTTTTGCTTTCATCTTATGAAGTAATCATTTCTTATAACTATTAATATAGAAAATAAAATAAGAATAGCCAATTTATTCTCAATAGCTATGATCATGCACCTTGAAAAAGAATTGATCCAGTTTACATTGGACCTACTTTTCATTCTTTTCCCTTTGAACTTTCTTACGAATGTGGGTTTGTATCTTGTGCAAAGATTTCATTGTTATTCTATTATCATCAACCATTTCAACCACAATTTTCAGGGCTTCATGCAAGATAGCTAATTTTTCTTTTGGAGACAGAAATGGTTCTACAACTTTTTTCTCTTCCCCTTGTTCTACTTCAATTGCACCTTGGACAAAGTCGTCGTCTGTAAATTGTTGATGCATATTCTCTTTACCTTCAAGATTTAGCTAATTTTTGACGGACATTGGAGTACAAACATGTAGTGCAACCATTTGATGTTAAATATCATCAATTAACTTTTTATTTAAGTTTTCTTTATCAACATTTTCTTCTACTAAATTTTCTCTCATATTTCTATTTCTACTTTCAGAGATGATAGGCATTCCAGATTCATCATGAGGTGATATAATTTTTGTATGAACCCAGCAATTTTTAATGGTCTCAACAGTTATTTCATTTCAGGCAATTTTCACCTATCTCATGCCTTGCAACTGGTCAACTTTATAAATATCATTTTCTCTAGCTTCATCATGATCTATTGCATGTTGAAGTTGTAGGTGGTGATAATGAAGTTTGAAGGATGCGATAATCCCAGCATCTATAGGCTGAATTTTTGAAGTTGTGTTTTTTGGCAGGAAAAGTATTTCTATGTTAGTCAAGGAAAGTGTACCGATAGCATATGAAGTAGCATTGTCAAGAATAAAAAGAATATGGTAATTTGATTCATTTATTTGCATATCTAACTTTTTTACCTATTCCTGAAAAAATATAGCTATTATCTATGCTTTTTTATTATTACAATAGTAAACTCTAAGCTCTTTTCCAGATTTTTTTTTAAAGCACCTTGGTTTTTTCATACATCCAATAAAAAAAAGAGGAAGCTTATGTGTACCATCAGCATTGGCTATAAGTGCAATTGTAATTCTTACCTTGTCTTTTTTTGACCCTTCAATTTGATGGAACATGATTGTATGATCTGGAGTCATAGAATAAAACAAACCTGTCTCATCCATGTTGTAAATATTATACAGAGAATAACAATCAGTAGTATGAATAATATATGGAAGACTCAAGTTAATGGCAATGATATCAGCAGAACTACTTTCACCAAACAATCTAATTTTATAGAAATTATGCCTTTCCTGGAAAGAATATAACCAGCCATTTGAAAACTCTAGTTGGTCATTCTCAAAAATATTTAATAACACTGCAAATTTCTTACCCTTAGCCTTAATTATGTTACCACTTAGGTGTACCTCCCAATGCTCACACTGTAAAATTCAATTTGCCAATGCATTATCTAATTCAGAAAACATAATAATATAGCATTTTTTAATTAAGAGATTACTTAAAGACATTTTACTAAAATCATCTTTTTTTCTTAGAATATCCGAGATTGTACTTTGTCTCGGAGCTTTAATAAGGTTAAATTCTTTTTTGGCCCACTCAGCAAGTTCTTTTTGAGTGAGTGATGGATTTATTTGGTAATGTTCACATATCACCTTGCATTGTTCATTGCGCAAATTTTCAGCTGAAGGATTTTTAGTTTTCATTATTTTTTACAGATATTGAAGTCCTAAAATCAGAAAATTCTCACTTGTGATGTACAATTTAAGTGGATTCAAAATTAAATAGAGAAAACCTTTATTTAAGGATGAGTTTTTTTTTGTTTTTTTTTTACATTTTACATATATGGCTTTTTAATACTTTTTAGACACTTATTTACAATATTAATGGCTGTATCATATCTAATATAAAATGCATTCTTATTACCAAGTATTTTACTAGAAATTATTAGGAATTTTATTTATCGTCATGGTTTGGGCATTAATCACTCAATTTTATGTGACAAAGCCATGACTTGAAACTAATTAGGTTCATTCAGAACCATAACTGAATGATAGCAAAATTGTTACTATAGTAAGTTAGCATGATAACTTATAATATCTTGTTGGTAACCTATAGATTACTATAGTTTTACATCCATAACCATGGCTTAGAGCTAAAACTCAACTTGATCCTAACTGGTTTCAAGGCATCAGCTAGACCATTAACGACATGACCAGGATGGCCATCATTTTATAGATCATGTGTGTTGCTGCAACTATTGTTGCAAACAAATTAGTATTAGATTTATAGTGCTATTGCTAGAAAATTTTTGACTCTGCATTGTTATTATGCATTATTTTAATATTGAATATTGGTGACACCACTACATAACCTGTAAAATCGATGGCCACCCTGGTCATGTCACCATATATAGTTTTATTTTTATTTAATTTTTTTATTTTTTCTCATAGCCGACAAAATAGTAGAATCAACATATTATGTGTGTAGGCTCATAGGCAGAAGTTCGTTTAATTGATTAATAAATTCAATTTATTTTTACATTATTTATACAATTTAGAGTACTTTTTAAAAAAACAAAAACTAATTATAATAAAGTAAAAAAAAACATATAGAAGGTTGCATTAGAGCTGTAGGACTCCATAGTCAAAAATAAGATCTAGTTCTCATCTGTTTAAAAAAATTAGCTTAGTAATAAGCTGATTTTATCAATCTTATTTTTGGTTATGAAGTCTTACAGCTCTAATAAAACCTTATATACAGCTTTTTTTATTTCATTATGATTAGTTTTCATTTTTTTAAAAAAGTACTCTAAACTGTATAAATAATCTAAAATTAAATTGAATTTATTAGCCAATCAAACAAACTTCTGCCTATAGTGTATGAGAAGTTAGTGTTATCGATTAGGCTAAGTAAATGTATTTTTAATTAAAATTAGACACATGTCCAATTTCAATAGAAAAACACCTAATTAACCAAATTGTTATTATTATTCATTAAGAATATTATGGGAATCAATAAAAAAATTCTTATTAGCAACTTTTGAATGATATAGTATAAATATTTATATATATAGTATAAATTTGACAAATAATAAAGTGTACAAGGAAAGCCAGGTTTCGGGATCAGTTTTGTATTATAAATACATGTACAACTATTTTTGGTTGATGTTATGTGTTACTAGAAAGCAAGAAGTCTTGTTAACTATTGAAAAGTTTTCTAGTTTATGCTTACCAGAAATTAGCCTTCGATGGAGAAATAACTGGAAGACCTGCTGTATAGAGCTCTTTGGTTAGAATAAAATTTTTAAATATTTATAATCAGGATTTAAATATATATACTGTATATATATTTAAATATTAGTTTGTTAATTGGCCAATTACCTTTCGCCAAATCACATGACATCAGGCATTCATTGAAACCTATATCTTTTTAAATCTGATAACCTCTCAAAACTAATACAAATTTTGTCTATCAAAGATATCAGATTTGACAAGGTATACCGTATTTATAAATCAAATAAGTTAACTTATTTAATTTTATATGTAAATTTATATAAAAAAATTATTTAAATTAAATTTATTTAAAAATATATATATAAATCTTTTTTTAAATTTTAAATATATATTCTTTAGTATTTAATACTTTTTTGTTTAAAGTTTTAGTTCTTAATCTTAAGCAAAATGAAAAGAATCTTTTATCAAAGTTTGTCAATGCTTTATTATATTCTTTAAGTCAAATAATTGACTCACTTTATTTAATAATATGATTGGTTAATATAGTTTTTTAAAAATTAAAGAAGATTTTACTAAGTAAAGATTTTTTTTAGTTTTAATAAAAATTATAAAAGAGGTTTTTCTGATTCTATAGTAGTTAGATTATTAAAATTAGTTTGATAAATCTTAAGATACTTGAGGTTAAAGAAAAAAATACAAGGATCTACAAATTCACAGTTACACAAAGTATTACTATTTTGTGTAATAGTGAATTTGCAGATCCTTGTATTTTTTTCTTTAACTCCAAATATCTTGAGATTTACTAAGTTAATTTTAATAATCTAACTATTATTAGAATTAGAAAAGCCTTTTCTACAACTTTTGTTAAAACTAAAAAAAATCTTTACTTAATAAAATTTTCTTTAATTTTTAAAAAACTATTTTAACCAATTATATTATTGAATAGAGTGAGTTAATTATTTAACTTAAAGAATATAATAAAGCATTGACTAACTTTAATAAAAGATTCTTTTTACTTTGCTTAAGATTAAGAACTAAAATTTTAAACAAGAGAGTATTAAATGTTAAAGAATATATATTTAAAATTTAAAGAAAGATTTATATATATATTTTTAAATAAATTTAATTTAAATGGTTTTTTGTATAGATTTATATATAAAATTAAGTAAGTTAACTTATTTGATTTATAAGTAACAACATTTTAAGCCTTTATATATGAACATGTCTTATGATTGTTATAGTTAACTTGCAGATATGATATTTAGTATAGAACCTGTATAATAATATATAGACAGCCTACTTAAATTAGACACCAAAAGTGCATATATAACTAGTTGTAATCTTTAATATAAAAGAGATCTAAAGGCATCTGTATTTAACAAAAATTTGAATAAAAATAATGTTTCTTAAAGATGAGAACTTTAATTTAAAAAAATAAATAAAATAAAATAATAATTATAAAATTACAAATATTTTTCTTTAAATCTGAAAAAACTCTTATATGTATAACTTGTTATATAAATTAAAAATATTTTAATTTTTAATATTGCAATTATTTTTATTAATTACATATATTAAATTAATTAGTAATGAAACAGTTATAAGTTATTTTACTAATAATTAATTATTATTAAGTTACAAAAGTTATTATTAGAGAATTTTTAAACAAATCTTATTTAATGTTATTTAATATAATAGTTATTGATTAACAGTCTATAGAAATGTATTAATTCATTAACATTACTTATTTGATATTATGTGATTTTATTTTGAAATACTGAAATTTATTTTGTAGTTTTAATTAACATCTAGACATTAGTTATAAAATGTTCAAACATATCAGCCTTGAATGCACTTCTGTTATTACTGTCTCTTTAATTATTGTCTTCTTGAAAATAAAATTCCTACTTAGTACATTATATTGGAATAAAAAATAAAACTAGAATATAAAATAAAACATATTTTTATTTAAAAATAAATATTATTGTCACTAACTCAAGGCCGCTATTTAAGTCTAAAATCTATTATTAATTCTAATACTTTTTGGAATTTTTACCAATTTTGAGTTACGAATATGGTCTCGAAATTTAATTCGTTGTTTCATCATTTCACGTGATCCGCAAAAATTTTTTGACTACCATTTTTGGATGAATCCGATTTGAGGGTTCTGTTACGTCGGTAATTAACGACCGGGCAAAATCACCACCCAAAAAAGTTTGTACTGCATGATAGTAATATTTATCGTTATTAGTAAGTGATTTTTTTTCTTCAATTCTTTAAAGTAAAAAGCGATTGTTAAAAGCATAAAATCCAATAAGCACACTATTATAAAAATATATGTTAATTGCCGTAACCAAAT